CCAGGACTGAAAAAAAAAGACAACGAAACAAGTTCATATTGTCTTTAAGTTCCTCTCAGACTCAGGCCTACAGACCACAGAGGCGTTTTTTCCTCACAAAGTCAGTGTCAGACTTCCTCTCTGCACCATGAAATCTCAGGAGACACACTGTTAAGGGACAGAGTTTTAATGTAGCCCCAAGTCCATCTGGGAAATCCATCACACATTCAACAGTTGTTTCCGCTTTCTGAAATGATTCCAGATTCTGGGATTTTTTTTTATTTTTTAAACAGTACTATCAAACTCAGGATGGTGACAGGCCAGAATGAGTTAATGAAGTTTACCACTGAGCATCAGTCATGGCCCATTCTTGTTTACAAAGCCTAGGCCTTCAATTGACCCTCCTTTTATACTTGGACTAAATATCTAAACCAATTCACCTACTAATTAAGGAAGGTCCATAAATGGTTCTAGTAGGATCTTTACAGTCTATTACCTTGACTGATTCTTTACTTTTATCATGTGCGTGATTTGTGTTGGAGACAGAAATGTCCCCAAGGGGTTGGGGTTTGGGGGGGGGTTGACTGATTCTTTACTTTTATCATGTGTGTGATTTGTGTCGTTGGCAACCTTTGAAAAATGTTGAAAAATGCCAAATTTAAATCATTTCATGCCCCCCCTTGGAGACAGACATGTCCCCTAGGTGGTGGGGGTTGACTGGAGGCTTGTTATCAGTCAAGCATTACAGCAGTGTTACACTTATGTCCATTTGAATATTTGAAGTAAAAAAAACAAAACAGTGCACTAAAAATGTGAGTTCATAATAGAGAACAGCAGGACTGCGTCATTTGAAGTACAGGTTACTCCCCTGCTTGCCCCTGCTAATCATCTATTATTAATTCTCGTGCTTCTACCGACCCAGACGACGCAAGAAAAAAAAAACCCAGAAAGACTGATGATAGACAGATATAACCACAGTACAATGAAAGGAAAACCAAGGCAGTGCCGTTAGCTTTGTAGTGGCTCGGAGGCAGATGTTCTGGTCGCCTTAAATCAAACCAGAATCATTGTACTGCGTATGAATGTCCATGTGGATGTTCAGAGTTTAATCAAACTTGAAACTGGGAAATACCATTACACGGGGTCAGCGGTCACATAATCTGGACAATATTATTGTATTTGAAATATGGAAATTAAGCTGCACACAAGAATGCACGGTCGATTGTTCAAGAGATCTTTTAAAACGTCATGGAGGCAACGTTCCTGCTGTATGCTGTTTTTATTTACTGGAACATTTTGTTTGTAAAATTGGAATAAAAGCCCCCGTAAAATACGGTAATTCCTTGATAGTATAATAAACATACCAAAATGAATATTCTTTAAAAAAATAAATATAAATTAGCAGTCATATATGTATAAATATTATATACATAAATACACATATACTGTACACTATAAATTTACATTATTATGATAGTCATTATTTTTACAAATATTGCAAGTACAAAAAAAACCAAAAAAAGACTAATAATATAACGGTTTCTCTTGGTTTTTCAGTTAAAAAAAGACTAATAATATAACGGTTTCTTTTGGTTTTTCTGTAAATATGGAGAGAGAGTAAAACAAAGCTTGCCGTAATTTAGTTTTAATGAATATGAATCACTGTCTGATGAGCCAATCATCACACCTCCACATTGTTGGTGGTTGCAGGTCACAGTTATATACTGTGGTGAGAAGTCATTAAACCTGAGATCACCTCAGGCCATGGTCACAGCTCAGACAATACAGCACAGTCACCAGTGTGACACCGAGTCCAAACACTGTCACAATGACATGGTTTGATGGAGGCTGTGGAGCCAGGAAGGATCTGTGGTCCTCCACTGCTGCCTTACTGTTTTCTCAACACGCCCACGCACACACGCACACACACACACACATGCACTGCAACTGTTTACAACTACTTGTGATAACTGTTCGAGACAAGGCTCAAACTGGTTTGAGACAGAGTGTTAATGGGTGAAAGTAACCTAACAACCAGACAGGAACATGACAAGAGCCCCCGGCCAGAATGTTTTATAAAGTTTTACTGATTTTTTATTAACTTTTTTAAGTTTTAGACCATAAATTAACTCAAATGAACTAAGATGAGTGTTCTAAAGATATGCAGTCCCCCCGGATGTTTCTATAATTCTCTACTGACAATGTAAGCTCACTGACATTAGCAACACTGTAACAGCTTTCAAATCAGCAACAACTGCATAAAAACATTTCAAATTAAAAAAAAAACTAACACTAGTGGCAAAAACTCGTGTACAGAAAAAAAAGTACAAACTACAACAATCTCAGAACTATGTTATGTATTCCATTCGTTCTGGTAAATGTAAGGATCTCAGGATTGTAAACTGAAACTTTTGTTTCATTAACTGAAGGCCACCACGTTGGCTAAAGGAGAGTTTGTCTCCTTTTTAGTTTTAGTAAACATGACTTGAGCTGAAAACACGCTATTTATTAAAACTAGTTTTAGACAAACCCTCCAGGTTAGTTTGACTGGAGAGCAATGGAAA